AGGGGAACTACTTCGAGGGTGATGGATGAATTTAATACCTGAGATAAGTGTACGGGTTTTTATAGGCGCAGTCTTGAAACTTTCCGATCGCACCTCGTATATAAAGTATTCAATGTGGTTCGAAGGCGTGGACATGTATGTTATCGGGTATTCAGAACACAACTATAATCTGAAGCGTATAAAAGTCTTGCTGCCTGCATAATTTTTGTGAACAATTTAATAAAATGAGGAGACTCGCTATTGGCGAATTTATCTTATTCTGGCTCAGAATATTTGCTTCTATTTTAATTACTATTGGGCCTACGATAAAGAAATTCTGGTATACTAATACTTATTTAAATGCGACAGTTTCTGTACTTTAAATCGAGCCAGTCCTTTTAGTACTGCTCAACAGATCTCGCTGGTCGAGACCTCTCCTCGGACCACAGTTTAATAAACGCTGAAATACGACGAGAAAGTCAGACCAAAATTACAATCGGCCCATTTGCAGTCCTGAAAAAAAGTAACTTTTAATACCTTAAAAAATTGGACGCATTTCTTTCTAAATTAGTCTGGGTTCGAAACCAGTGTTATGCAAATGTACAAACAGCTCAGAGCTTTTATGTCCGTGGTTGTTGACTGTCTCAAGTGTGGATTCCTTTAGCTGTGAAGAACAGACACGTTGTATGTTATGAGATATTCTTATCTGTAAACTGAAATATGACTGTGTTATTTACAGATACAGAAAAGTTACTCGTGACAGGTCACAACTTTGATGCCAAAACTGTAAATTCTCTGTCAATAGCTTAAAAATGACAGAGAGTCACCTGAAGACAGAAATACAGCCAACTCCCGGAATGTAGTTTATGGTCTCCGCATTCAACAAAAAATTGCTTTCGCCAATGGATGTGCAGTATAATACTGATATAATGAAGTGAATTAAGTAGTAAAGTCCAAGGAGCGAAGTCCTTCTTGCGTGGCTCAGGCTATCAAGAAATGTCTCTCCTTTTGCGGAATCAGGAGTTAAAGTTTTGTACGCATTACTCAGCTTCTATGTCTCATCTCGCTTGATTTAATCGCTCTAAGAATATTTGGTGATGAACAAAAGTATGCAGCTCCTCTAACGGGAAAACGAAACAATCTAAATTTCACTGTAGCAAACATTCCCGGAACTGACTTTGCCCGCAATTCCCTAGTGACTGCAGTCAGCGTGGGGGTGACCACAGGTTGTCTGTCGGTCCGTGTCAGTCATCGGTGCAATTAAAGATGACGACCTTCGGGAGGCTGTTGTTTGTTCTTCTGAAAATGACACAAGTGTGAGTCACCGAGCGGGAACATCTGAAGAGCGATCTAAGGAGCACTTTGGTAAATTAGGTAGCCTCAGCTTCTATTTTAATACACTGGTGTACTGGCCTACTCCACGCAGCAGAGTCCATGAGAAGCAGTTGAAGTTTTTTTTTTTTTTTTTTTTTTTTTTTTTTTTTTTTTTTTTTTTTTTTTTTTTTTTTTTTAGTGTTCTGTCTGACGACAGGTCCATATGAACAGGATCCTTCCATCCTTTTCTCGGACTGGGACCTGTTCATATACGTTCTTGGCAGATGATCCAGAAGTGGTTTGCCATTGCCTTCTTCTGTGTGTGTTGGGATGCCACGGAGAAACCGGGGAAGCCCCCGGAGGAAAACTCCGTGTTGCCTAGACCCCGGCCTTGCCCAACACAAGTTATAAATTCGGGCACCGCCGGGAATCGAACCCGAGACCCCAGGATTACAAGGCCCCGCTTTTTGCAGAATCGGAATGGTTCCTTATTCTGCTCACAACAGCCCGTCATTGGTCTCTCCGGTCTCTGTCTTGAGGCAGATGAATTCAATGCACGCCCTTCAACCCTGCTAAGACCCATTTTAATATCCTCCCATCTACGCCCACATATTCCCAGTAGTCTCTTCCATTCATGGAAGCCTTTAACTCACTCTCTTCGAGGACTAAAAAGCCAGAAGACAGACCTTAACCTTAAATCTTACATAGACATATTTGGCTCACGATAATTCATTCCAAACTCCAAACACAATAATAACAACAACCAAGCACCTGAAGATGGCAGTAGGGCTAACTTCCGAAATGTTGAAAATGAATTTTTACAGATCTAGCAATGGACAACATTTGACCGGGTTTTTTTTTTCGAGAGGTTAGAATTTTATCCTTATTATTCAAAAGGCCCGGGGCTAGACCAAACCTTCGCCATTAATTTTAAAATAAAGTATGACAGTCGATCGCATACAGACTGGAGGAGGGTCATTTACAGAAATATTGTACCTTATAGCAGATGTACCTTAGACTGTGGCCAACATAGCATTGTTACAGTGTTACCAATTTTATTTTTTCCTTCGGTCGAAATTTAAAAATCGATAAGTTGGTTATATTTTGTAGTATCGTTACGTGAGTCTAACTTGTTCTAAAATCTTTGGATTGCGATGAGATCAGATACACGACACGCTCGGCCACAAACTGTGACGTCCTTCAAGATGGCGACCTTCATCTCATCCCCCAACAATGGAATGACCTCACTGTGACGTCAGAGGTTGCGGCCCTGACCACGAAGCCCTGCTATGTGTATCTTCTTTCTACGTAACTGAGAGAAAATAGAACTCAAGTACATTTTCAGTCCCTAACACAAAGAAATGTGCATTTAATGTAAGTTCTTGTAATGCTACTAGATTTGGCCTTGCAAATATACGCTCAACTATTTCCATGACGCAAATTTCTTAATATGAAACTAACAGTCATTTAATTAGTCAAGAATTTCCGTCTTTCATAGAACCCGAATTTTTATTACCTTTTTTTCAAGAGCCAAAAAGTATATGAAAGTAATCGCATATTTTCCTTCTAATCTAACATAATACAAAATATCATAACAACAAAAGAATAATCGAATTAAGACCATCTAATTTTATTATACAATATAAAATAAATAGGTAAATTAGTTCACCGAATATAACAAATACATATAATAGAATTTCCGATTACGCCAAGTCTGGTTTTCCTTCTTTAATGTAACATTTGTGTTAAGTTAAAAATGAAGAAAATAAAATTAAACAATTTAAAATATAAAGACAGCTCCACGTATTCTTAACCTCTGCATTACATGGATGTAAATAGCGAACTTTAAGTCCTGGCTGCTTTAGCCTCGAGGGAAAATCCCCAGTACCCATCGGATGGGATATTCGGTGGGCCTCAGGACCGGTCCAAGCTCCGTATCGAAGGTGCCTTATCTCTTCGATGGCACTTTGAAATCGGCATTTGATTTATGCATTTATTCGTGTTCCGGTATTTTTGTTATTTTTGTATTCGTCTGTTAATTTATTCGTCCATTTATTCATTTAATTTCGAATTAATATCTGTTCATAATTTTGTTCCACGTGTGCTGAATCTGAGGTTAGATTGCTTTACGTAAGCAGCTGGTTAGCATTTGGCGGAAGGGGGGTGGGGGGTGGATTGTGGACTATCCAGGTAGCTGCGCGCAGGTCTACAGGAACTGGAAGGCCTTGGCGCAGTCTGTCAGTCGTGAGTAGACAGCGTCGCGGGAAGGAGGAAGTGGTCCGTGGGGTAGTTGTGTGCGGCAGGTTGGCCGCTCCGAAGTGAGTGTGTGCCACACTGTTTCCATTGCGACGAGCTGAAGCTTACAAGGTAAGCAATTGATATTAACGTGTGCATAATTTTGTATTCATTGCTATAACCGGAACGGTTTATCGCGTCGAACATATTCCTAACTTGCCACTGAGTTTGTTTTACTTACCTACTTTATGTGTGCATGCTACTCAGAGTTTAATGCAGATCCAAAGTGCATACGCCATTTCATCTAGTCGTAACAAATAATTTTCATGCTAGCTAATCCTAGAACTCGGCCAATATTTTACTGTTTTACCCCGCGATGTCATTTAGCTCGACCTAACCCAATCCCGAAATTTCTCTTCATGTACCCGACTTCCTTTCATTTCAACCGCAGCGATGCATGGCTTATTTACAATCCATCCTGAATATCGTACCGTTAACTCATGTTTCGTCGCGCTCGGTGGACTAGTGGTTAGCGTGCGCGGGTTCAAACCCGGCCGAGGTCGATGGATTTCTAAGGGTGATACAAATCCGTAGCACAACTTCCTTCGGAGGGGAAGTAAAGCCGGTGGTCCCATGTCGTAGATTTACGGTATGTAAAAGAACCTTAGGACCATGATACGAGATGTTTCGTAAGCAAAATTCAGCGGCCATTTCTCACCCAAGTCTCTCCTCGCCTCGAGCAACTGTCCCGGAACGGGCCAATAGGCCCAGTCCCTGTAGGAGATGATGTTGATGATACCGATAACTCATGTTTATTTTATTGCATAAATTACAGTAATATTTAAATACATTTGACATGCTCTGAAAACATTAGGTTATTTAGGCCTTTGGAGAACGAGACAAATATATCGGATGCCAAATATGGCCGGAAACGGAAAACGTCGTATGCCGAGGAATGTCTATCAGATTATTGTTATTGAAAATTAAATCCCAGAGGTTTGGATTGATTAGTGAAGATGGCGTCATAATTTAAATAATTTATACCTATTTGATATGTGATTTTTCTCCACCTTCCATTAATTATATTTTTGTACCACATGTTTGTAAAACAAAGCCACTCAATGTCTGCTTAATTTGAAGAAAAAATAAGAGTTGATATTAATTTAAACTGTGCAGTTATTATTCAACTATCACTTATGTTTCAATATTTCAGTATTGGACTCGTATCAAGAGCAATTATAAATGAATACCGAAATATGTTCTGAAAAGAATGGTTCTGTAAAGCAGTGGTATTCAACCTGGGGTACGCGTACCCCCGGGGGTACGCGAAGACATCTTAGGGGGTACGTGAAATTTAAAATATATATATATATTATTTTATGATAAACACTGAATAATCAGTAATGTAATTTATTTAATTTATTTTAGATGTAGATTATATACTATGTGTAACTTAAATTATACACCAACAACTTTGGGGGTACGAGAACAAAACAGGTTGAATACCACTGCTGTAAAGGACAGTGGTTTAGTAACTTCAGTATTTTCATCCAAATCATTATTTTGTGTTACACTGGCGAGGCTCCAAGATAATCAGTTATTTAATTTCTTCGTGATTTGTTGTCACTATAATTCAAAGGTTCCGTGTTCAAAATCTTGGAATATTACTATTTGCAAAAGAAATACATAATAAAAGATTTTGTTTCGTGAAACATACCAGGTATATATACAAAATATGGCTTAGTATGAGATCCCTAGAAGGGGATGTTATCAAGTCCTGGAATCTTTGATGCTACGTCAGAAATCTGAATACATATTGAGAAGAATGATATCTGTGATTGAAATTCAGGAATGAAAAAGGTAATTACACATTCTTTCGAATGTTTCAATCTATATAGTTCGGCAACTATTTTCTAATTGAAGATTTCCGTCTTCTGGGTTGTTGCGCTGTGTAGTCTGGTCGATGTTAACCAACGTTTCAGAGGTCATACTGCCTCCGTCATCAGAGTATGAAGATTTCTGTCTTCTGGGTTGTTGCGCTGTGTAGTCTGGTCGATGTTAACCAACGTTTCAGAGGTCATACTGCCTCCATCATCAGG